CTTCGAAAAAATAAAAAACCAGTATGAGAATATTCCCTCTCACATTTCTCCAGAAATTTTTTTTCTTTAAAATGCAACAAGTAAAGGGCACAGATTGGACCTAAAAAAGCATTTTTCTTCTCATGAGACTGTACAGTTTTCTGTATTTACATTGAAGCAAACGATCCGAAGTCTGAAGAAATTAAACGCTTTAGAGTGCTAAAATCAAAACATAAGCAATACATTTTTTTTAATTTCAGTATTTTAAAGTACAGAAAGTGGAAACTATGAATATCAAATACAAATTTAAACAAAGCCACTTGTCCTCCCCTAGAATAATCAATGTGAGCTACTTATAGAAACTTACAAATTTAAAGTAAAATCAAAACAAAATAAATACTGTACATAAACTTTCCCTGCCTGCAGGCAAAAGAGGATGGGAAATACTGTTATGAATTGAAAAAAATGCTCTTAAAGCTGCAGCATCCCATTTCCCAGCCAAATACTTAACACAGTAGTGCGTTTCTGTAAAAAGGAAGACACACATACACCGACCCCTACCGAGCAGACAAGCTAATATTTTCAGAGACATTAGAAGGAAAGATAGAAATTAGACTATGAGAGTAGAAAAAGGAGAGGAAAAGACAAACGGGCCAGCAAAACATTACTACAAAACTAGGAAATATAGCCAAGAACTAGCCCCTTTTTTTTTTCTTTTTTTCTTTTTTTTTCAAATTCCATGTTTTTTTTAAAAAAAAGATTCACCAAAGCATTGGCAGCAATAGACATTTCCCAGCAGAATTGACAATACATATCAATATAATCTCTTAAAGTGATCCCTTTCATTCCCTTCCCACAGCATGAAACTCTTATGGCTTAATTTATATTAAAAGTAGAAAAAGTCTTTTTTTTTTTTTTTTCCAAACAGAAATGCAGCCTATGAAGAACATGCATTTCCTTATCAGTGCTACTTGTATTTCCCATCCACTGCATGATTTATCATTCATACACTCCCACAAAGAGAGTTACTAGGGTGGTTTTTGTTGGGTTTTTTTTTTTTTTTTGGAAAAATGGATGTTGCAGCTTTTAATCTTGTTTAACCACAAATAGTAAGGCCCTTGGTTCCATATATGTTTCTTCTGTGAAAGAGTATCTCTGGGCTCACTCAACCCCAGAGCTACAAACAGCTTTTAATGGTCTGGAAGTATCGCATGAATGAAACTCTGGAAAGACACTAGATTTGGGTGTCATGGGTGGGGGTGCGAAGGGCTAAGTGGGCATGGGGAGCCTAAACAGGACACTAGCCATAGGCCAGGTCTGTCTAGCTTCAGTTCTGCTTAGTCCCCACAATTACCAAACAGAGGTTAGCAAAATTCAAATCAGCTCTGACTCCAAAATCCTGCAAAAATTTTCAATGTTTATAAATTCATGGCCTTGTGAATGAAGGTAGCTTATGCCATACAGCAAAGCCTAGGGAAAGCTGAAGCTTCTAAAATGTGATCATGACACTGTGCTCTCTTATATCTCTACTAAAGGTAACACAAGCACTTCACAACCACCAAAAAACCAAAATCCCCCAAATCCCCCATGTGATCAGAAAGCAACAATTTTAACTCTCAACATCTAACCCTTTCAAAATTGTCTTTAAGAATGGATCCATGTGAGTATTATAGGTTGCATAGGTAATCTACCTCAGAGGTCAACAAAGGCTACCTTGTAGCCAGGGTTTATTAGCAAGTATAGCAGAAGAAGAGAAGGGAAAGTTGCTGGAAGAGTCTTTGATATAGTTTCTAGGTGGACTTTTCATTTTCATGTTTGTTTCTTTTTTTTTCAATTGCAGGAACATGAGAACTTCGAGAATGGGGAAATCCCTACAATATTTCACTTCCTATTGTTCTGTCTACAAAAAAAATACTAAGTTTTATGCCAAATCAAAGTTCTCTGGCTTTTCAAAAAAGATTATCCTTGAAAACCAGTTACCATATCAGGCTTAATTCTCTTTGTTGTCTAGTCAGTGTTCCCTACTCCCTCCCTCTTCCACCCTAAGCAAGGAAAAAAATAGGGCTTTTTCTCTCCAGTACAACACCACAAAGTTCAGTCCATCTACAGAAAGATTGGTGCAGTAGTGTTTTCATCTAGAACACAATAAAAATATCCCTACATACAAGTACACAAAACAAGTGAGGTCACCACATCCTCTTCATGAGCTACCAGGAAACTTTTTTTTTTTCCCTTTGGTTTTTTTTTTTTCTTTTTGTCCTTTTACTTTTTTCTCTTTTTTTAATACTGCTTATCATGGCAATTTCTTTTAAATTACTGATTCTGAGGTGGAACATCAGAATTAACTTCTGCTGGAAGCATGGATATCTGAAGAAAATGGGAATGAACCTCTGCCTGTTGACAGCCTGCAAACTATTACATAAATTCATGACAGTGGAGAGCCACTTTGAAAAAAAAGGTAGAAAGTAAAGAAAGAATAAAACCAAGAAGAAATAATATATATGGGTCCAGCCACATCTGTGTTCCAATAGTAAGATACAGATAAATAATGCAGATGGTCAGAAAAGAGACTTTGTATAAGCCAGTCACATGTACAAGAAAGCATACTCCATATTTTAAAATTCCTTACTCCAGATTCTATTCTGGCATACTTCTATTTCAGATAAGCGTTCTCAAAAAATCTGCCTTTAAGAAGAGAGAGCTCATTCTTCATTATGCTCTGAATCTGATTGCTGCCCTAAACTGGAATTTTCTATTCTTAAAAATTACACAGCCAGCCAGAAGGAAACAGTTTGGTTCAAAATGCTAAAGCTAAAACAGTTTCCCAAGCTTGCCAGGCATTAATCCATTTGCTCAAGCTTAAGCACAGAGAATATTTATATGGGTATACAATTTTAATTAATATTGACAACATAGTTTATTTCTTTGACTTACTTTGGTGAGAACATATTAGAAGACAGTTATAATATTCTGTTTTAACTATTTCCATCTGGAAAAGCACCTGAGAACCGCAAGTACTTATAGTCACTTTCAGCACCTTTAGAGTACCTCTTAGCTTATCTTCTGCTTTTTAAAAATCCTTTGTTACTTCCATTCCCAATAGTCTAAAGAAGGTTGATAGCTTGCATTAAATTAAATAAAAAATATTAAAAAGACTGAAAACATGCTTTTGTGAAAACATAATCAGCAAACAAAAAATGGATAAAAAAATTCACCCAATCGCACACACACAAAACTATGAAGTCAAGTCAATATAACGTAAAAGCAGGGCTATAAAAAAAAAAAAACATTCTTAGGTTACACTTTTCAAGCTGCAAAGGAGGTAAAGCTGTGAAAGCTATCTGGCTTATTTGCAGTTGCATTATGTTTTGATGTTTCTCAATTTAGAAACAGGATAACATAATGCTAAACAGTTTTGACCCTGCAACAATCAAAGACACCTGACATCTGAACTACTTCCATAAATTTGTAAAGGCATTCATAAGCTAGCCTAGATAAAAATTACTCTGTACAAATGTTCTGGAAAGTCCAACTGAAATTGTTTTTAAACCACTACAAGAGAAGATGATTCCAGTATAGAATATGGAGGAAGGAAAAGCTGGTATGGAAAGTTCAATCGATTCAATGACTTAGATAGCTATGCCTGAGTATTTTTACTCTTAGCAACCAAAAAAAAACCCCTCCAAATAACCAACAATACTGTTGTCACTAGCATATTAATGTTTTCATTTTGGCTGGACCCTGCAAAATGCCCTTTTTCCAGAATCAAGTAAAACTATTCGCCTTTCCCCCTTCATCCCCATCCCCCAACAGTTAAATATTTAATTTTATATTACAGAAAAATACAAATTTTAAATCAAAATTATTTACAATAATTCAGAGTCGGCATTTGCTATCAGCGCTGTATGAAGCCTGACACAAATGATCATTCTGATACCAGTAAGCTACTCAATGCTTATATACGCACCAGTTAAGACTTTTAATTGGATGTCTCACCCAGCTTTGAAAGCAACACACATTCTCCTGGCTTCCTGACTCTTCAGAAAAATGTGTTTAAAGTACAATAGTAATATTTTAATGCTTCTTCCATGCTACATTAAGTAATATGCCAAACTTAAGACTGCAACGTATACCTTAGGAGTTATTTCAGAGTAATTGTTCTGAAGAAACATTTATCCTAACTGATGTCCCTGTTCCTCCAAAAAGATACGCTAGGTTTCCCTCCTTTGTACCAACTCTTAAATAACCTGTACAAATGCAATTTCAGGGAGCCTTTTTGCAGAAGAAAATCATCACAGATAGTTCATGAGGAGGAAAAGTATGCAACTCTTATTTGAAGGAAAGGGGTGCAGTTTAAAACAAGCTAGCTACTGGACTGACATAAGAAGATTCTTCTGTCTTTAGGAGTCTCTTCTAGTCCATCAAATAAATAAATCTGTATAAAAGAGAGGTCAAAAAATAATCAAGCTGGCAGAGAATATGCAACTTGCAAGTCAACAGAAGCCCAGCCAACAGCTTACAAAAAGCAGGAAAAAAAAAAGATTCCATATGCCTTAATTTAAAAAATAATTAATAATGCATCTCACCCCTATTTAAGACTATAACCTGAATATCAAATTTAGGAGTCCAGACTAATCACAATTAATGTGGCTCTCCACTGCACCAAACATACATTATCAAAACAATTAAAAACTTTCACATTCTTAAATCTAAATTAATAACCCCCACAAAAAAGTCTTCCAAATAAATAGGTTTTTTAAATGAATTTAAAAGTCGTCAAAATCTATCAGAAATAAATTATTGATAAATCACCTTCATCATCTTCCCCTCGTTAATTAGGTCAGAAACTACCAGCAACAAATGATATTCAAGCCCTGATGAGAGACTATTTCTCACAGTCCATGTCTCTCTGAAGATTTCCCCATTCCCATATGGTTATTGCTGAGCAGGTGTGGCACAGTGAAAATGCAGCATTGGGTTGGTTTTTTTTGTTTTGTTTTTGTTTTTTTTTTTCTTTCTCATTTTTGTTCATCAGGCAGTGTTTTATATGGTACATGCAAGTCTGCTTCAAGCAGAGGAATAACAGCAGCTCCAGGCTCTGTTGACCTCAATACTGGTCTGTGTAGGAAAGACAGCAGTAGTAGAAGTAGCAGCTACATTAAACAAAGAAGCGTGCATGGCCATTCCGGTTCAGCTTCAAGATCTTCCCAAGGCGCTGTTTAGCAGTTGCCATTCCTTTCTTTGGACGTTTGCCTGAAAAATGAAATCAAGCACTTCTATCAGGAATTTCAGAATAAATTTTTATGATCGCAGAACAAAGATGAAACCCAGCTTTCAAGCTGAAACAGGCAAAAATTTCATCTGAATCAGTTTAAAAAAAAACCCAAACAAACAAAGAAGAGGAAAAAAAAACCAAAACCTCTTCATTTGTCTGTTTGGGAGCAAACAAACGGAATCAGAATTGTAAAAAATCCATAAACTCTGCCTAGCATTATCATAAATAAAGTGATTATATTATTTACAAACATTTCCAGTCTAGGGAAGGGCAGTGGGTGTGGTAGGGAAGAACCTGAAATAAGCTTCCTGAATTTTGCTCAAGCAAGTTATTCCCTTGAGTAAATTACAGAAAATAAACTAGAAACTAAATAATATGATCACCAGACTACCTTTTGAAGTGTCACAGCTTCTAAACCTTCACTTCCATAAACAAATTTGATTCAGGCCAGTGTTTCAGAGTATAGTTGTGGTACTGTTCCCTGTAATAAATGTGTAACAGATACACTGGCAGAGGTGCAACGTTAACTATGAAAGTTTCATCTGGCCATGCACCGAATTAGATCTCTCTTAATTCTGCCTCCACACATTCTGTGCCAAAATTTGAGTGTCCACAGAATGCCCATTTTGTATTTTTCCTCAAAGTCTAAGTCTGTCCCTTTTTTTTCAGTTTCTGCATCTAACAGCTGTTTTTGATGTTTACAAACTCCTTTTCCCAGTCATCTTCCCCCCTCCACCCTGGCAGGAAGACCACAAGGATAAACGTTACCTTTTGTCGCCTGGTTGCTGATAGGGGGTGGATTTGATGCTGGCCTCTTTGTTGGATGAAGTGGTACAGACAAGGACGTTTCACCATACGGCCTGTCAGGGCTAAGGCTGCCATCACTCAGCTGACATTCCCCTTGAACTAGATTGGAGTCGCGTGTATACTTGCCGTGCTGAAAACTCAAGCCATTGTTGTGAACTATACTTCTGTTTTCCTGAACCTTATGATTGGCTTCTGACGCACCCTCTTTCTTGATATATTTTTGAGTTTTACTTGTATCCTAGTATAGAAATGAAAAGAAAAAAGTGGAAGTTAATAACTTCTGGCTACAAATTTACTCCACTTTCTCTAATTATACTACTGTATCTTTGAAAAAGATATTTCAGTTTCACCAGTGTCTGACCACTTTTTGATTCCATCATTTCTTTTAGTATAGATACCTCTTAAAAGTAAGACACAATAAAGTATCTCTGTGCAAGCTTTTTCATATGCATTTAAGGGCAATACTACAGATTAATTACACATACTAGTGTACTCAATTCCTCTACTTTTTGGGTTTATTTTGCAGTGATCAAAACAAACGTAGTTGCTCCTGATTAAACTGCCCACTATAGCAAGCCATACCATTACCACTGACTACTTAAATAGGCAGTTTGTTTTCAATATTCAGCTGATGAGAGAACAAATGCTCGATTGAGAATTACAAACTGTAAGGAGTATCATGTAATTAGATATTCTTACCAAAAAAAAACTGCAAAGCATGCAGTTAAAATACAGCTATTAAATAGCATTGCTATTTTGCAACTTTAATTATTCTATTTAATTTAATTGTTCTAATACTCCAAATATAGACAAGTTTAGAAATACTAAAAAAGTTCAGAGTGTGAGAGACACAACCTTTCATTTATATATTCCTTGCTGGATTCCACCTGGACATCAGAAAGCAAAAACATTCCTACCTGCTGGCTGTTGAAAGGTTGTATCAGTTTGCCAGTACCAGTTTCCTAAGCAAGTATCTTTACTACAAATACTATCAACAGGTTCCACTTGTTCTGATGCTCTGGTTGGGAATAACAATGAATAAAAAATACGGTGCTTCCCCAGTTAAACTGAATGTAATTTCACACTTCTTTTTATAAAGTATTTTTCATTTTTTCAAGATCCTGCCCTGAGCATCTTAACACTAGCCACTATGAGAGAAGACAACAATTTAAAAAAAGCACAACAAAAATATAATATTCAGTTACCAGTACCAGAAATATCAGATATGCAGTGCTGCAAGACCTACCCACCATGCTTTCTGTACTTACAACTTCATGATCTCTTTTTCCTATAAAAGTGTGTTCAAAATGCTTAAAGTATTGCTTTACCTGAGGGGTAATCCTTGAAGCTTCATTCAGGTGTCTAGCCCATGCTGAAGTCCCTAAGTCTCTTTCCTCTTCCTTCACAGACCTACCTAAAGAGAAGTTCAACAAGATTAAATTTTAAAATCAATAACTAGGAATACAAAATTAATTATATCTTTGAATGACTTTAAAATTAAAACAAGAAAGAAAGAAAAATATAATGGAAAATATTTCCTAGATACAAAACACAGGTTGTCAGAGCTGCTTGGTTCTACACACTAAATTGGGATAACAATCAGACAGTATAAATACATCTGGTAAAGATCCATATACCACAGTAAGAAGGTCAGACAAATATAATCATTCAAATTTGAAAGTGCTGATGTCGAGGACAGCTTACTTTCTTTGTTACACTACAGTTTTCCACCATGGCTTTGTATCACACGGAGTTCATACAAAGATGGACATTTAATTTTCAGGTATTGTTGATTGTATTGTTTCTAAGCAGTGATGTGCTATTCAGCTACAACATATGGAAGATCTATGCTGACAGGCCTATAGAGGAAGTGTCCACATTGAAAACCCATTTACAGTACAGTTAACTTGTAAAATTAAGGGTATCCCGAGACATCAATTCAATTTGAATTTGTAGAGACTGAAAGGTTTTGCAAAACCTGCTAGCTAAGTAGCACACTTTCATCTTCCTCACCCACACCCGTGGAGTTTGACACATGTACTGGGTCTGGCCAGAATAGAATTTTTTCCTTACAGTCCATATGGTGCTATATTTTAGATTTGTGGCCAAATCAGTGTTGATAACACACCGAAGTTTTGGCTCTTGCTGAACAACGCTTGTACAGCATCACAGCTTTCTCTTTTCCCACTCTGCCCTCTGTAGTAAGTAGGCTAGGGGTAGACAAGAGATTGGGAAGGGACATAGACAGGGCAGCTGACCTGAATTGGCCAAAGGAATATTCCATACCCTACAACATCATGCTTGACAATAAAAACTGGGGTAAAGGAAGAGGCTGAGGGTAAAAGCGTTCTGCCAAGGTAGCCATTGCTCTGAGACTGGCTGAGTGTCAGTCTGCTTGCAGAAAGTGGTGAGTGATTGCCTTTGTACCACTTGTTTCTTCTCGTCTTTCCTTCACTTACTAAACTGTCTTTATGTTGACCTATGAATCTTCTCACTTTTGGCTGTATGGGTAGTTAGCTGCTGGCCTGAGTCAAGCCACCACAATTTAGAAACGTGGACATTATGTTTTTCATAAAGTTACAAAGATGGAAAGATTGTATGTGTCTGTGTGGTTTGCTGGTTAGGGTTTGGTGGTGGTGGTTTTATTTATTTGGTTGGCGGGTTTTAAGGGGACACAGCTTCAATTACCAGAACACAGTCCATGACATCACATTAGGCTTTCCTGTTATCCATGTAAACAAAAAATAAACATACTACTAGTTATTCAAATTAGCACCCTATTTGTTGGTGGGGTTCTATTTGTTTCACATCAGCAAAGCTATAATTGCCTTCCATTTCCTTCTCAAACAAAGAATTTTCAAACATAATGACTCTCTTTCTCTCTGTTCCAAGAACTGATTTTGATTCCTTTGAGGGGATTAGTGTTAATGTTCTGCTGTCTGTCATTCCCAAAATGCATTTAACAGATGTCTGTTTTCCACAGACAGCAAAATGCCACTGACAGAAAAATTACTTCTGAATTCTCCTCAAGATGAGAAACTCCTTTAATGCACTGCATTCATAGCAGAATTTCAGGAATAAAGCCAAATATGCCTTCCAAAGGCACATGAAAAATCACCAAGCAGACTCCTATGGTATCTAAGTAACACACATGCCATGAAACCTACAAGCATGAAGGTTCTGACAATCTTTTCTGAAGGAGATAACACTTTCAATAAGGAGACTACACTTTCAATCTAGCCATAACTCTGCAACTCTTGTAAGGATGCCACAAAACTTTTAGATAGCAATATTTAGAAGATGTATTCTGATGACCTCTCAAGCTAAGTTTGTCCTGGTTTTCAGAAGTATCAATTTCTTTTTAAAGGAAAAAAAAAACCAACATCCAAAACCAAAGAACGCATATTTTTGAACATTCGTCTGATTTACTTAAAACTTTGACAACAAATCTAAAAATTTAAGTGCTTGTTCTGAGCAGTTGTACAAGAGCAGAGAGCAGCAGTGTCATTATTTCAGATACCTACCACATTCTATTGTTTTGTGGCTCTGAGATGGCTGTCTGTCTTTATGCCGACTCCTGGGGTAGCTTCTGTGTTCCTGAAGAGAAGTTCTTTTATCTGTGCAGTCTGTGCTTTGAGTATGACCTGGTAAACATGTAGTATAGTGCAATCCTGCCATAGAAAGCATGCCCTGAATAGCTTCTTCTTCTGTACTTGTCGAGGTAGGACATTCCCTAGAAAAATAAAGGATAATTAAGCAGTTCAAAACAGAACCCTAAATATTTCTGAAGGAATAACTTACATTGGTATAAAGCAGAACCATAAATGTGTGCGAAAAGGTATAACAGTTTATAAACAAATGCCCGCAACATGCTTACTTTTTACTCGGAGTTTCATTTCTGGATGGCTTCTGGCTATTTTGACATATGTCTCTCATGACCTTAGATTCCTCTTTGAAATTTGATGTTACTTCCTGTTTCTCTTCATCACCTGAGCTTTCCGACTCCTCTGTGGAGGAATCCTTCTGCTGAAACAAGAGGAAACAGTATGCAGAATGGTCACCATGCCTCCTAAACAGAGATGGTACCTTAATTTATGCTAAGTAAAAAATTCAAAAGCTTCCAGGTCCAACTCCTTAACATATACAGTACTGAGAATGCAAGTAATCTGAATATAGCAACTGAGATGCTATACATACAGATTTTGTAACACTGGTGGGTACGTGCTCCAGCAATATAGAAAGCATCTCTGAAATCTATTTTCTTACAGAAAACACTACACACATTAAACCGTGCACAAATCATTGTATTCTCCTTAAAGAGGGCACTGATTATTCATATCTGCTATATTCAAAGTAGAGGAAAAATTATGGAAGTATGGTTCCAAGCAGCAGCCAGAACTGATGCCTATTACATATAATGGGACACAACCTGCCCCAAGTAACTGTTTCTGGTTCCTCTCTTATAAAAGGTAACTTTCAGCAGCAGCATATCTCTTATGAGTGACAGAAGCTCTCAGGCAAATCTAGAACACAGCAGGAACACAGACACAGCAGCTGTCTCCTCTCTTACAGCGGCACAGCCTCATATCATGAATGAAAAGTCTTTTCAGCTCCTGCTGAGATTACAGTTGTATGGGCAGGAGCTTCTCAAGGTGGAGCAACAATATGTGACTCAATTTGCCTTTACGTGAAGCAAGGGCTACAACAGGTATGTTCCATCTTTGTAATTCAGACTAATCGAACTTTCAACGAGTACAGCCACAATTTTTTTTCAAGCCAAGGAATACACACGGCATTCAATAAAAGTGTTGAAAGTGGAAGATCAGAACATGGAAGAATCATAATCCTTCAAGACTGACACCACTATCCCTATCATCAAAACCAGAACTGAAATGAATGAAGTGCATCATATCACCAAGGGATGTTTTTATACAATAGTTTCATTCACAAGAACAGCTTGTTAATCTTTGACACTTGGAAAGTGACACAAATGGGCAATTAAATTATAACTATGACTCAGTGTTAGTAATAAAGCTATTATCTTGTTTTGTTAAGATCTTCCTCAGTGCAATATAAAAATATAAAAAGGATTTACAGGAGCTACTGAGATCGTTCATTTGGATATATCATTAAAAAAGACAAATTTGAACATGCAGAAAAATTATTCCATTAGATACTGTTAGAAATTATAAAGCAGAAGAATATAGAAGGAACTAAAAGAGTGAACGACAATAATATAAGACATTTTACTCAACGACACAGTCATCCAAAACTAGCTACATTCTCCTGTCAAGAAGAAATGCATCACTTCTAAATAACTATTGATTCTGTGTCTTAAAAAGGAAACCTCCTGAGCCAAAGTTGCTGACAATGCAGTTTAGGGAACCAGAAGAAGCCACATCATGAAGGTTCCTATCACTTATTCCAACATCTAGATAAGTTAATGACGGAAGCCAACAAATATTAAAAATAAATTTTGACCACCATGGAAAAAGTAGGAATATGAAGACTTCTTTTAAAGTCTTATAATAGGCGGATGACTGAAAGAAAGACCAAAGCATTAGCTTTCCAGAAGCACAAAACAAGAATTTGAGGTAATCGCTCTACCCTACTAGCTACCCTACTAGCATTTTACTGCTATCCAATTAAAATTGACATTACTAAGTCAGAGCCTAATTTTGCAAGCTTAGTTGTAAAGTAATCAATACAATCTAGACCCTCAAATGGAGGATACCCATTTATTTCAAATAATCTAAAACATCTCAATAGGATTTAGCCACTTCAGCTTATTTTAGAAACTGAAGGCCTATAGGATTGTATCCATTTAACCATGCTCTAAAATGAAACTGTGTGGTAGATACTTATAATTCTCATGATGAAATTTAGACTTGTTATGGAAGAAATAAACAAAGCAACTAGGATCTAACTTTTTTCGACTTTGCATGTTCCAGAGCAGTGATCATCCTTTGTCAGCCCCACTTTATTATTAAAGAAGGCCATAAAATTTGGCTCAAGACAGCATATCTTCTCATTTTTCTCAACACTGAAATAAATTGAAGAATGGGGCAGAACCATAAGTTTGAGATATTAACTTGAACAAGAATTAAATACTGTGTGTTATTGCTCTTTTAACACAAACTTCAACCAGATAAATATAATTTTGCTTGCTCACTTCAGATTTAATTGCTTCATTAACTTTTGTGACTTTTTTCTAGCTATACCTGTGTAGTGCAATCAGGCTCAGATTCTTCTGAATCAGAAATATCAGAGTACTCTGAGGATCCATTCCTGAGTTCTGATTTCACACTTTCAAAGAACACTGAGGAGAGAAAAAAATAAAATATAATATTTATTACATATTTATTACATATAATATTTAACAATTATTTGGGACGTAAAGAGCAAGAAACACATATTTAGTTTTTAATAGTCTGTAAACAAAAGGGCATCCACACACCGATCTGTTTCACAAGTCAAGTTTGCTTAAAACTCTAGTGAGTTGCCTACTGTTGACCAATAAGACTCCTCAAGCGGCTCACTGGATGAAGCCAGAAGAGGAGAAATCAGGTGCAGCAGAAGCATGTAATTTTTTTCGCCCGAAGAGTACATAGTCCACAGATGGCACCTTAGGCAATTTCTGCTTTTATATATAAGCCAGAGTCAGAGAAGTGGCTCTCAGAAAAAGTTAAATAGAATATTACTTTGACTTAAGACTCTTTGAACCTGGAATTTCCTTGTTTAAAAAAAATCAGTTATACAGAAACACTAAACATGGAAGTCAGAGGATATTATATGATTCAAAGGTTAAAAATAAAAAATAAAAAAAATCATTGCATCACTTTGGCAATTTTACTTTTACATCACAATTTACTGGCATATTCTGCCTGTTTTGTGCTACTACAGAGCTGCCAATCAGGGTTAAAATGCAGTCCTGTTAAAGAAGATTAAAATATTACTGTGATGGTACACAATACACTTGCATTGATTTTCATCACAGAAAGACCTGAAAAGGAAGAGGAGGAGAGGAAATACAAACCTTAGACATGCTTTTTGCTAGTAGTAAGATAAAGTACTAATCAGAGAATGAAGTGTCAAAATAGACATCAAAAACACTGGCATATGACAAAGCAATCAATCAAATCAGCCACCTAGTCCACATGGTTTACTTTTTTAAGTGCTGATAGAACTCAAACATGAAGTAGCTGAGCAGCTCTCAGAAACATGTACTCTTAAAAGACAACATATGTCCCAAACAATGACGAGCAGGAAACACATCTGTAAGTGTTCGGAATGCAAGGCTCAAGGTCAGTGGGCTGTACACCTGTGTCAAAGCTGCTGGCAGAAATCTTGATTAAGTATGAATTTGTGAAAAACTACAATATGCAGTTTTAGCTAGCAAAAGGTTTTTGGAGAAAAGCCAAATACAATAAAAAAAATTATGAATGTGTGTCAAGAAGCTAGTGGATAAAGAAAACAACATAACTTTTTCAAGCTTTCAAGTACTTACAGTTTCATATAAAACTATGCTGAAAGCAAACCAATATTTTATCTGTATTTCTCTTCTAATTTCTGATCTGTGCTGGTTTGCTTTCAGCATAGTTTTGTATGAAACTACATAAACAGAACACAATTCTTCATAAGTCACTAATTATGCAAGCATAAAAGATGTACTTGTAACCCTATATGCACTGCAATTCTAGTAGGATTTTGTTCCTATTGTAGACTGTGGAAAAGTTCATAAATAGGTGTCAAATACACTTCAAGAGATATTATTAATTTCTGAACATTGCATAAGTGAAAGTTATTTTTAGAGTCAGAAGAAAGCTAAGAATGAGACAGGTTATCAGAAAGTGAATAAAATGAACAGCAGGGACCAATATCTAGAGAAGACTAATTAAACATATGACAATCAAATGAATATTCTAAATTACTGTAGCTCAGAAAAACCCAAGGGATTTCTGATGATAACTTAAGCCTTTGTCTCACTTCAAAAGGGCAAACAAGATTCTAGGATAAGCAACCACATGCGCAATACAGGAAATAATACCATTATATAGCTCAAATAAATTTTCCTTTGGACTACTACCATTTTCAAAGAAAAAAATTGCTCCGAACTTAGAGACTATTTAGATGAAGGGGCAAGAACAATTAAGGATATCTAAATATGCTCACATATGGAGCTTCAGATCTTAGGGAAAAATTACCATGTAAATAATGAACCACAATTTAAAAATAAACAAACTTCACGAAGGCTCCTCAGGAACTTTTCTTCTTTCTGTCTTAAGGAACTGGAAAATCCTAATTATTAAGATGACAAAACTATTAAGAGGAAATGAGTCTTCTGTAGAAGGCAAATGATTCAGCAAGAGAGAAAAGAAACTGGACACGTATATAATTAGCTATATACAGATAAAACTAAGATTTATGAAAGCAATGCTAAATACAGCATCTTATACTTCAGAAGCCCCCTTGCCTTCTCATAGAGATTAACTGATGATACCCTACTGAGAGGGAAAAAATATTTATCTGCCTACTATCTGCTAATATGATATAGACTGAACAGCTAAAGCCACATAACATTATTGAGACATTCCTGGTTCATTTGGGGCTGGGCACTAGCACATCAGGGAAGCTGCATTCCTTTATACTCCTCTTAAAAAAAAAAAAATATCCCTTTTCTTTCACATACAGGTTTCAGATACATTTACCGATCATCACAACAAGACATCATATATTACTAGGACCCTTCATCTCTTCATCCAGGAATGTGATTTGTAACTGAGCTTTAAAAAAATTCAATCTAAATATACAAGTTGGGTTTTGCTTTTTTGTGTTGTTTTTGTGAATTACCTTGGTAATTACTATTGTTACTTTAAAATGAACTGGTCTACCCTCAGATAAAGTTATGGCTCTGCATGCTTCCAGACACTGGGAGGACTACTCCAGAAATCAGGTGAATAAAAGCAGTCATTATCTGTAAGATCAGGCTAAGCTACTGTGAATTCAAAAAACACCTTTCATCACCTTCCCTTCATCCACACAAGGTATCTTGCTCTATTAAGCACAGCACTTGATCTTTGTATCTCTGATAACACTGGGTGACCATTTAGAACCAGGATCTTGGCATCACACACAAAGCCATATAGAGCTTGATCTGTTTAAAGGCATCTCTCTGTGGACAGTGCCTCTTGGCCTAAATCCCAGTAAGAACAATGGAAGGTGGCAGCTGTTACAGAAACGGGTAGTTCCATTTATGGAATTCTCTGCTGAAGAGTACCTTCTCTCTCCCTCTGTAGACCTTCAGTTAAGGCAAAATAATCAAATGTAGGTGATTTGTAATAGGGAAGTTTGAAGACTCTCACTATTCAATTAAAAATATTAGTGATAGTCCTGACTGCTCAATTTACGGAAGAATAATCTCAACATTCGCTTCTAGTTCTAAGTACATTTCTTACATTTAGATATATGCTGCCATATTCATTCTGTATCAACTAACAGCATTAGTTTTGAAAAAAATCTGCCATTTCTCTGTATTATTTAATTTTTGATTCAAGTGTAAAACTTAGTTTAATTTACTTAGTTTAGTTTTGAAAGTGGAAAACCACCACCTATGCCCAAGCCTTCACTCAAAAAGTCATATGCCTTGTTGGTTCATGAGTACCCAAAAGAGACCTCTTTCCTGATCAAATTTTTTAATACAGTCCTCTGTGACCTGTGGAAGTACAGTCAACAGGGATTACAAATTGCTTTGTTAATGAAAATAATTAAATATTTAACCCAGGCTGACAACGGACTCAAATGTTGTTACAGATTGTTGTGCAGGAAACTAAGGGAATTGTAAGTCTCTAGAGGAGTCTTGTTATCTTTAAGCATTGACCTCAGTTTCCTAATACATATACTCTGAGCCCTTGTAAGCTCTACTGTGAAAGGATGTGACTTTTGTAATTAAACATAGAGCTGAAAGGCTATGTCAAGGACCAGTCTGTCACTGCACACAAATAGTGCTATTAAAAATAGGCACTGAAAACAGAAATTCAATATTGATACTTTACTATTAGACTGTGTGATCAGCACTGCTGAACACTTGTCAGGAAGGCTAGAGGCTACAGAATGATGAAGAGAGATTAACTCCGAGTGAAGGATAGTTTAAAGTATTGAAAAGTGAGGTTAAAAACCATTTTACAGGTAACCTAAATTCTTCCCTAGCCTTGCAGATTACTGCAAAGGTTCAAAGTATAAAATTTTATTAATGCTAAATTACGTTTGATCACTTGTATGGAATAAACCTATTCATTAGCAAAACATACAAAATTGTATGATCAAGAATGTAATCACCAAATGGAACAGAAAAGTGAAATACAAGATAGGTTTAAAATTAGCTGCATGTTATGATCTTTTATTCTCTATGGTGAATGATGTGATGAACGATTTGCACTGAAGTATATTTTGGTCAAGAAAAATCAGCATTCTTACATTACAAAACAGACCAAAAGGAACAAATGCTCATCTAGAACATCAATTAAACCTCGGCTCTGAAAAATACCGAACGTAGCATTCAAGAGAGAACTGACATAAAAAGGTGAGTTTTACTTTTCAGCTCTATCCTGTTAGCTTCTTCAGTGGACAAACAATATTTGACAAATGTTTTGTTGTAAATTCTGATGTTACTTCCCTGATCTTTATACTTGAAAAATTCAGTCAGACTTCACAATGGTTAGAGCCTCTTCAAGATCATCAAAACATTCAACTGATAGGACTTAAGAGACAAGCTTACTGTTCAGTGGTTTCTGGGCATCTGCATTCTCTTCTCCTTCAAATCCTGAGGGCTGGTCTTCTACCTTAACAGTTGTCTTTTTCGACCTTGTCCTGTCATCTTCATCTTCACTATCTGCTGTGTAAAGACTTCGATCTGTAAATGGGCGTCTCTCATCTCTGTCTCACAAGAAAAAAAAATCATGTTATTCTTGTAAAGCTCAATTGCTTTCTTTTCATTATTTACAACATGCTGTAAAGATACATATTTCTTCATTTCAATTTGTACATATTCCCATTTTACTCCCTGTACAACTGTCATTTCCATAAAGATGCAAAGATTTACACCAGAGTATTTTTAATAAGAATCGCTCTAATAGATGGATACAAAACAACAATTTCTACTTTGAAGCATTCCCTTTAGCCAAACCCAGCTGAGCAACTGAATGAAATGCTGTAACAAAGGAACACGCAAAGCATCTCCTCCTCTTCACTCCATAACTGTGGCTCCACTAGGGGACAGCAGACACAACAGACAACACACACCTTCTATATTCCTAACATGAATCTTACTGGTAAATGGGAACTTAGAGCTCCACAAACAGAAAAGAAATGTTATTAACTATTAGCATGTTCAGACCATAATGACAAGGAAAAAGTGATCCACAATCAACCCTTTGTACCTAATTATTCTTCCATTTGACAGCAGAAGGCGAAGATCATTGTCTTTTGTTCGCCATTCAGGTACTGTAGAAGATGGCTGCAAGGGCTTGTTAAATCTCCCATTCAGTTTCAAGCTTGAGGTATCCTAAAGAAGTAAAAGCAGCATTGCTTGTTATTTATTTCTATAAATTCAATTGTTTTTTCTGCACTCCACAAAAGCCTAAACACAGCACCAGGATGGTTACCTTCCTGATAATAAACTGAAGAAAGCTCAGACAAAAAATCATTTAATGTAAAAACCAGCAGACTGCATCTCCTTCTTCCTTGAATCATCTATACTCTCCTGAAGCATCTGAAACGACTACAACTTCACTATAATAGTCCTTTTACATTTCCTTTGGAGAATTATCAAAACTAAGAAATACCAACAGAAACGGGCAAGCCAAAAGCTTGGAACTGATAAGGCAACTCCTGAATTTGGTATCTGGTCCCCAGAATTAGTATCACAGAACTGATTTATAGGGCAGTAAAATATCAATAATGGAAAGTAACCTGCCACAAGGAGAACTTTCTTAGCTCAAAGCAATTGACATTTGACATGTACTCAGAGGCAATCGGCAATATATTTCTGTATCAAACCAGGAACATGTAAAACAGCATTTCTTTTTGAAGTCAATACTGATAATCAACAATGTTATTTCTACATTAAATGACAATGACTAATACTCCTGAACATTTAATTTTAAAAACTGTCTGTAGCAATGAATTGCACAGGTTAAGTATTTGTGGTAAATTTTAAGTTCAGCTTCTTGTCTTTGAGGGCTAGATGGACGTCTCTTGTTCATGCCTTACGAAGATCAACATAAGGACCCTAATCAATATTTCTCCATTATGACATTCCATCCTGTCCCAAATAAATTTGTCAGCATTCTCAGAAAGATACTTATTTTCTTTCATAAAGCTATTTATTTCCATTCTCTCACTCTTTCTCCCATTTCTGTTGCTATTTTTTGACATAAGGTCATCAAACCTGAAAAAAGAATTTTTCAGACTACCTTTCACTTATTGACTCCATGATACCTTTGTAATAGGATCACAAAGTCCACAGCCCCACAATGGAGACTAAAGGCAGCCTTAGGCTTACTAATAGGGAGGCACGGTCATACAGGAAATGGGAACATGACTGAAAAACAAGGTTAATCAAATTACAGTAACCAAACTATAAGAAACAGCTATCTAAAAACACATTGAGAAGCAGTCTGGCTCAGAGCCTCACCAAATCAAGGCTTTGCAAGCTCCCTTGTCTTCACAGAACTGATTGAAAGTAATACTTGATAGCTACAGCAGCCCTAATTCAAAAACTACACTTGAAGTAAATAGCGGGTTCAGGGCACCTTCTGAACCAAAAGGTTGAAGGAACAAAAAAAAAAAAAAAAATCAAGGAAGATTGAAATTCCTATCAGTAAAACTCAAAAGAAAGAAACCAAAACCAAATATACCCATGTCTCATATGACAGAAAGTAGTAGCCTGTATTCTTGTGTACGTTAAAAGCTTCTGCCTTCCAATAGAGATGAGAAATCTAGTCTGGTTTTGTTTTTCTTGCACATATATAACTTAATACTTGCCTCCTCCCATGGTGACATCTCCAGCCTTTTCAGTACCTCCCTGGTGTGGAGTTCCAGGATGTCCAGATTAGAAGGAGTTTTGGTAGCGTGGTCTCGCAGTTTCCTCACTCTTCGTCTGGAGTGGTGAGGGGAAGTTGTTTCATGCGAAGACCGTGAACTTGGACACACACCAAGAATTCCCTGAGTTTTAACTAGTTTGCTGGTTTCCTCCTTTAATTAAAAACACGTATTTCAGAAAAGTCTCAGAGGAATTAATCTACATACTGAAGTGTTGCTTCCCATTCATCTAAGTAAATGTAAATTATATTAAAAAAAATAATCTTAGAACTTTTAGAGAAACACTACATATTTCCTATGGATTTGATGTATAAAGCTTAGTACTACTGCACCTCTTTCCCATTTGGGGCCTTCAAACTCTCCCATAATAGTAGTGCTTAACACCCCAAGTTACCACCAAAACATAAGGTTTTATTCTTGAACGTAAGGTTTTATTCATTTCTCTTCAGTTCTGAGAACTGTGCTCTCCACATGCAAATATGAAATTTTTTCAAGAATCAATATTCATTAAGGATTAAAGGAGCAAAACACTGGTATAGGAGAGGAAAAAAAAAAAAGAAAAAACCACTGACTACATAACAAATAAGTACAACATGTAAGAAAAAGAACAAAAGAGATGACAACTGGACCAGAACTAACAAACAAGAGGGTAGGAGAATGGAATATGCACAGAATTTCAAATTAAACTCCTTAACAACATAATCACAATAATTATTTTAAGTAGTTACAAGTGAGAACATTTTAGAAATACTGACTTACACATAATTTAACCATTAAAAAAATGTTTTTCAAAATACATAAAACACCCTTGCTATACATTTTCTTTATCTGAAATACCCACAACTTCTATATTCCATATTCCCAACAATATTCCTTGATCTTCTATTATTAAATGAATGTTAAATAAATTAAAAGGTGAATATAGTCAATCAGAAGCATAACTACTATGGAATTCCCTGATTCAAAGATTTTTTTCCTGCAGGCTTATGTAGGGTTGCCTCTGTTCTTACCTCTACAGAACGAATGACTTTCGAGAGCTCTTTTATGAGATGTCCAGGCCTAATGTTGTCTGGAATTTCAAAGGCATGTTCTGTTACAAGCTGTATGCAAAGGGTGAAGAAAAGATATTTAATTCATTTTTTCAGACAAAAGCGGAAGTAATATGAAATAAACAGATCTACAGGGAAAAAAATGAAAAGGGAAAAAAAACCAGATTAATTTCTGTACTAATGACTGCAAACTGCCAGGACAAATACACACACACACTGCAGCTTCCAGTCCAAGCTTTAGAAGGCAGCAGATACCCCTCAATGTCTCTAAGAATCCAAAGAAGGTGTATTACAAAGCCATACTGACAACTGCTTAATTTTTTTTTTTTTACCCTCAGTACAGTAATCAGCTTCTTTTTTTCCCCTTTAGCATAGTCAGTATAGAGCCACACTTCAGGAAGTCATTAGAGTCATGACCTTCAAAACAGCTAAAGACTAAGGGAATTTCACTGTGGCAAAAATTTAATCTAAAGAGCAAAGCAAGAATAATAATCAGTAACCAAGATGCAGATTTTTTACACAAATGCCTCACATTTCACTTTTTAAAATTACCTTCTTAGCTTATTTAAAATCTAGTAGGTTGGAGAAAGCGATTCAAAAAAATCATTCCCTATAAAAAAATTCAGGAAGTTGTAACAAGTTATGTTCCCTTTAATCCTCTGAAACAGTATCAGAGACAGTTTTCCTGTATGTATAACACCAATCTGAGTAAGTCCAAACACTCTACAGTTAGATCTAGTAAAAATGCTTAATATTTTGTATGTACAGTTTAAATGTGCCTCAAAACACTTTTAGTTAGAATTAAACAGACAAAACAGCGCTCACACATAGACTGGAATGACTGACATGAATTCTGGTATCCCCTTAATTGACTATTTAAATGGAAAAATATCCCATACTTTCAGCTACCCACATTTCAAAAATGAGATTCAGCAGCAACATTATTGCTAAATGCAATTTGATACTGTATGTGCATTCCATTGAACCCGGCTTCCTCTCAGTCATTAAGACGAATGTTCCCCCGCCCCCCCC